TAAAGGGCGGTTTTCACACCGCCGAAACCTGGGTTCCAGGTCGCCGGGTGGGCCCGGCCTCATTAATCCATGGCGGGACCAGGGTTCCAGGACCCCCCGTGCCTGGTGCAAGACGGCCCGGATGGCCTCCATGACGGCCAAGATGACCCATGATGGCTTCAGAGATGCGTCCAAGACCGCTAAGATGGCCTCGAGGGAGCCCAAGGTGGCCCCAAGATGCGCCTTACACGGCCCAATATCAGGTCCAGTAGCACCACATAGCGTCCGAAGCGGCCAGGACGCCTCCAAGACGTCCCTTGGGAAAGCCTGAATATGCGAAACACATAGATCCTCCGTTCGTTTTTGACGGATTTTTGCATTTGTTTTTTACTTCGGCCTGCCGACGGTCCAGATGGCCCACGCGGCTCCCAAGATCGAGGACTGGGGGTGGGCGGTGTGTGGACACCACATGGCCAGGGCCAGGCATTCCCTTAGGCAGCCACTTTGGCTCGAGCCGCGCCGCTTCTCCCGGCACGCGCCCCAGGTCCGCGGGGGCCTCGGGGGCGGAAAAGAGGGGGGTGATGGGTGATGACCAGGGGGGGGTGGATATCATGGCGGGGGCCATGACATTTCCCCAGGCTTCCTGGCGCCTCTTCTCGCTTCATTACGTCCCTGGCCCCCCCCCCTTGGGCCGCGCACGTGCCGCCGATCATGATTTGCACCTCCCCCCTCCCCCTCCTCCTCCTCCTCCCCTCCTCCTCCTCCTCCTCCTCCTCCTCCTCCTCCTCCTCCTCCTCCTCCTCCTCCTCCTCCTCCTCCTCCTCCTCCTCCTCCTCCTCCCCCTCTTGGACACCCCCCTCTTGGCCGCTCCCGAGCGGGTCGCGCGGCGCTTCAGGCCTTCCGACGCCGCCGTGGGGCTCACGGGCAGCGCGCTGCCACGGGGGGCCATGCCGGCTGTAGAGCGCCAGCTGCCGCCTGGCCTGGGGACCAAGAACACCTTCCTGGACTGCCAGTCGCCGTGGATCGACTACGTCCAGGGAGACGAACGATGACATAAACATAAAAACTCGGAGGTCCGCGCGGATTTCTCGGATCCGCGCTGGACCCCTCTGGCGGCGCCTCCGGCGCCGCCCCTGGCGCGCTCTGCGCGCCAGGGAGGGGGGTCCAGCGCCGATCCGAGAAACCCGCTCGGACCTCCGAGTTTTTATGTTTATGCCACTTTTTGTTCCCCTGACGTCACAGTGGGCGAGCGCGCGAAGTCGGACCCCACATCCGGCTCGTCATCGGCCTCGGTGGCCGCCGAGCTCTCCCAGAGCAGCGGGGTCCTCGAGGGCCTCGGGCGCAGTCCTGCGGCGAGGCTGCGCGACCTTGAGCCGATCGCGCCTCCTCCCGGGACGAGGCCGTGGCACCGTCCTGCCGCGGCAGAGCGCTGGCGGGGCTCGCAAGATCCGAGCAGCGGCATCATGGACAAGGTCGTGCGGCGGCCCCAGGGCCCGCGGCCAGCGGGCGAGGGCGGGAGATCCAGCAGCTCGGAGGGCGAGGGGGCTCCTGCGTTTGACAAGATCACCCGGACGCAGCGGCGCCGCCTGCAGCGGAAGAGCGTCCGGGCGGCCCGGCTGGAGGGCAGGGGCAGCAGCTCGGCCGCCGTGCCGCAGGGCACCCGCAGCGGCTCGGCCGCCGTGCAGCAGGGCGCCTCCACCAAGCTCTCCCTGTGAGCCGCCCGCCCTCGGCGGCCCGGGCACCCGGCGGCCGACGGGCAAGACGCGAGCTCCGCCGCTCATTTCGCGGCGGCGGCGGCGCCCCTCGCGCGGGCTCTCTGCGTTGGGGCACTCCTCCTCCTCCTCCTCCTCCTCCTCCTCCTCCTCCTCCTCCTCCTCCTCCTCCTCCTCCTCCTCCTCCTCCTTCCCCCACCTCTCCTCCTCCTCCTCCTCCTCCCCCACATCTCCTCCTCCTCCCCCCCCTCCTCCTCCTCCTCCTCCTCCTCCTCCTCCTCCTCCTCCTCAACGCAACCCGCGCTCCGCGCGGATTTCTTGGATCTGCGCCGGAGCGCCCTGGCGGCCCTGGCGGCGCCTCCAGCGCGGTTCGTGTTTTTGAGTCTGTGCTCTATGTTTCTGCTCGTATGTTTGGGTATGTGCTTTACGTTTCTTCCGAAATTCGCTTGCAGAACGACATGCCCAACCTGAGGCTTGCCCCGTGGCCCGGGGCCCTCGGCAGCCATGGGGGAAGACAAGAACAGACTGGATTGACTCAAAGAAAAAGCACAGCAGGATCGCAAACTTCAGGCGCTGCGCGCGGATTGTTCGTATCTGTGCTGGAGCGCGCAGCGCAGCTCCGACGATGTAGCCATGGCGAAGCGTCGCGACAGGGCCTGGGCAAGGTTAGGTGACAGGGATTTGCCACGTCAGGGTGGGGTGCTTGTACCGAGCATCCTTACCACACCGGTTGACTGCACAGTCAACCCGCATAGTGAGGATGGGCGACCTTCCCAAGGGTACCCTTGCATTCGTGCCTCCTCGGTCCATCCTTGGCCACTTCCGTTGGCCGCGCCCCGCTCGAAGAGCTTCGAAGCGGGCGTCCAAGGCCCTTGCACCTTTATGATACAGGCCGACTGTAGGGATTTGCCGCGTTAGAGAGAGAGGAGGCTTGTACCACGCATCCTTACCACACAGGCTGACTGTACATAGGGATTTGCCGCCTTAGGGAGGGGGTCTTGCACCGCGAATCCTTACCACACCCGCTGACTGTACATAGGGATTTGCCGTGTTAGGGAGGGGGGGCTTGCACCGCGCATCCTTACCACACGGGCTGACTCTACATAGGGATTTGCCGCGTTAGGGGAGGGGGGCCTTGCACCGCGCATCGTTACCACACCGGCTGACTCTACATAGGGATTTGCCACGTTAGGGAGGAGGGTCTTGCATTGCGCATCCTTACCACACCGGCTGACTGTACATAAGGATTTGCCGCGTTAGGGGAGGGGGGGCTTCCACCGCGCATCCTTACCACACCGGCTGACTGTACATAGGGATTTGCCGCGTCAGGGAGGGGGGGGGCTTGCACCGCGCATCCTTACCACACGGGCTGACTCTACATTGGGATTTGCCGCGCTATGGAGTGGGGGGGCTTGCACCGCGCATCCTTACCACCACACGGGCTGACTCTACATTGGGATTTGCCGCGTTAGGGAGGGGGGGTCTTGCACCGCGCATCCTTACCGCAACCGCTGACTGTACGCCCGCCCGCCGCCCGCCCGCCGCCAGCCCCCCGCCGCCCGCCAGCCGTGATTCCGTCTCCAACACAGCATCCAGTACTCAACAGTTTCCCGCTGCAGGAGAGAGAGAACTCCTAGGAGTTCTAGTGCATCCCGATCCGCCCGCTCGACCGCCCGCTCGACCGCCCGCTCGACCGCCGCCCGTCCGCCGCCCGCTCCCGCCGCCCGCCCGCCGTGTTCAAGACAACGCCCAGTACTCAACAGCGTCCGTCTCCAATACAACACTCAGTGCTCGACAGATCCCGTCTCCAACACAGCACCCTGCACTAAACAGCATCCTGCTGCAAGAGAGACTCCTTAGGCTTTTCGTTCAAATCCCGATCCGGCACCGGGTGCTCAACAGCCTCCGTCTCCAACGCAACACCCAGTATTCAACAGCAGCCCGCTGCAAGGGTACCTCCGGAGTTCTGCTGGGATCCCACTCCGCCCGCCCGCCCGCCCAACCCGCCCGCCGCCGCCAGCCCCTCGACGCCTGTCCGCCGCGCTTCCGTGTTCAACGCAGTATCCAGTACTATCTCCTCCTCCTCCTCCTCCTTCTGCTCCTCCTCCTCCTCCTCCTCCTCCTCCTCCTCCTCCTCCTCCTCCTCCTCCTCCTCCCCCTCCTCCTCCTCCTCCTCCTCCTCCTCCTCCTCCTCCTCCTCCTCCTCCCCCTCCTCCTCTTCCCTCCTCCTCCTCCCTCCTCCCTCCTCCCTCCTCCCTCATGAGAGGGGCTTAACCGGCTACAAGTAGGTAAGTAGTGCCAGGTTCGCCCCGTCGTTCGTCCGCCGCGCGGCGCTAGTGGGTAAGTCACCCAGGTTCATGAAGTCGTTCGTCGCGGCCGCCACTTGACCTGCGGTAAGACACCAACATTCCAGAAGTCATGCGCGCAGGGCCCCGTCGGGCCCGAGTCCTACTGGACAACCAATGGTTTTTTGACCAGTTCTCTTGATCTGGGATTCTCGCATACCTTTTTCTTCGTCTTGCGATCCCGGCTCAGACAAAATCGAATCCAAGAGGTAAGCGCCAACATTTTGGAAGGAATGCGCGTGGGGCCCCATCGGCCCCTATTCCTAATGGAAAACCAATGGCTTAAAAACCGGTTCTCTGGATTTGGGGTTTTTGTGCATATATGTATATATGCATATAAGCCGCCATACTGGCTCAGAAAGTGCGGCCACCGCTGTGCCATGCGGCACGTCCGACCCACCTACCTAGACTCTCACCCGAGCCGCAGGTGGCCACGCGGGCGATGAGGACCGCCCTTCTGGCGGCGATCGCTCAGGGCGCGGCAGCGGGCGCAGCGGAGACGTCAGCGGCCACACGACGGACAGCCTGGCGGCTCCTGCGCTACAGCCCGCTGACGGCTCGCACAGCGGAGAGGTTAGACGACATCGAGAGTGCCTGTGAGAGCTATGACTCCGTAGGCCCCATCGGCACACAGCGCAGGTGCGACCTCCCGATCCAGCAGCAGCGAGCGGGGGAGAGGTGGCGCATCGAGAGTGGTTGGAAAAGAGCAAGCCCCAGCAATAAGTCTGCGGGTGTGCTCCTCAGTTTCGGCAACAAGTTCAAACCTAGACACTTGCGGAGGGTGGTCACAAGTCCCGAGCAATGTGCAGGCCGAGGGCGTTCAGTCAGACTAGCTTCTCGGCAGTTCGACTTCGCTATGATAGGCCTGTACATACCACCTCGACCGACGCGAATGGAAACCATATCGACATATGAGAAATGCGTGGACATGGTGATGGATTGGCTACAGGAACACCTGCAGCAGGCTCCGAGCAGAAGCTCACCGATCATATGCCTGGACCTGAACGACGGAATGGAAATGGTCGTGACAGAGAACGGCAAGAGCACGGAGTATCTGGACAGCCCAGCCCTGTGCAAACCAGGTGCGCGACGGGAACACTATGCAGGGCGACGGTTCAGAGAAATAATGGAAGGACACCACTTGGTGGCCACTGCAATGCAGATGGCTGATGACACGTGGTATGGCAACGCGGACAACTCGTCGCTGGTGGATTACGTATGCATCCCAGAGGCCCTGGCAAGATGGGAGACCAGCTGCGGGACCTTGGCCCGCCTGGGCCGGCCGATACAGCAGATGCCGAGCAAGCAGCGACGCGACCACCTGCCAGTCCATGTGAACTTAAGCATGCCGACCATCAGCGAGCTACGCAAGCATGATGCTACCCCTACCTGGAGCGCAGAGGCAATGATGCAGGCGTACATGGGCACGGACATAGGCACCAAGCGCGCCTTCGTCGGGGACATGGAGGCGACGCTTGACCAGAATTGGGACGAGTTTTTGGATCTGGCAGACCGTACGTCTGCAGATTTTTTGATTGAGAAATTAGAGCAGATTATGATTAATGCTGGGCAGCAGTATTTTGCACGAGATCCTGGATGGGATGAACGCTACAAGGCACTGAGAGAGCGCAGAATGATACTACTCAGATCTCGTCGAGATTATCGGTTTCGACATGATGAGCAATCAAAGAAGGAAGAGGCCGAGATCATCGAGGGACTACAGAATTTATCAGCATATATGAAGAAACAATGTGATTTGGAATGGAAAGCACACCAGGAAGAGCAACTGGATCAGATATGGGATTGTTGGCGAGTGCGTAACATGTCAGAAGTATATCGACTCTCGGGATTGGCTGCAAATACAAAGTATGGGATAAAAAAGAGACATTGTTTGGCAGTAAAGGCGACGGCATTATCCGAGGAGATGGGGACTGAACACTGGTCACGTCCAGGACCAGACGGTGGAATGCAGGCGACACAGATGCACGATTGGGACCAATGGCGCAGTGAACGGCAACCACAGGGCGCCGAGCCAGCAGTACTTGAAGAACGACTACGGCGGGCTGCGGTTCGAGACCTTCGACGGCTGGAGCGTTGGGTAAAAAAGGGCCCCAAAACGAAGAACGCAACCTCCCTGGTCGGCCCCGCTGGAGCTCCTGGCCACCCTTCTGAACCCGAACCCAGAGGCTCACCCACGAAGAGGCCACGGAGGCTTAGGCGCCCCTTCTGATCCCGTGAGTGCCCCCCTGTTTCGGGCTGTCTTGGAGGGCGGACTTTTGCGAATTAGGCAGTCTGGCAGAACTCCTCGTTACTGGCATCTGAGCAAAGGCGCCACCTGCCCCAAGCCCAAAGAGGCTAGGTCCGCGGGGGGGGGGGGGGGGGGGGGGGCTGGAAGAAAAAAAACAAAAAAAAAAGAAAGTCCATTTACATCCATCCCTCGGGAAGGGACGGTACGCTATCCAGAGCGTCGCCCCCCGCATGCAGGTGCAGGCGCACGGCTTTCCCGAGGGCCGTTCGAAAGAGGCGGCGATGACGCTTGCGCAGTGCACGATGTGGCGCGCGCAAGCAAGGACGCATGAGCATCACACACCTGCACGATTTAAGTAATGCATTCGGTGGTGTCTCTTGGTCAGAGTTTGATGATGTCCAATTGGACCTCATGCTTGACGAGCTAGAGCAATTCTGACGCCAGCGCTACCACGAGGCAGTGGTTCAGCTGCCCAGCGAGGAAGGCAAGGTGATGTTTCGGATAGGCTGTGGGGCCTTTATGGGGGACCCGTACGTTGTTCGCTCGTTCCTCCTTGCCTTCCAACGAGGGGTAAACGTCTGGCAACATCAGATGATACAGACGGGCAGTGATGTAGGCAACTGTAAAGCCGAGAGTCCCTTCACACAGAGGGAGGTTGACCTGTCCTTGTGCCAGTGTGCAGACGTTTTTTTGGTATATATATATATATATATGTATATATATAACACTCGTAGCTGAGGACGCCGAATCAACATACTCTCTCGCCCAGCGCAGTCTTTCAGAAAACAGTACTCTGGACGCGGCTCTGGAGACGATTAGCTGTAGACAGAATCGGGACAAGCAAGAGATTATACCAGCTTGTGCTGGGCGCGGCTCGAATAATGATGCTCGGGACATTCGCTCAGGTGGGGTCCGTCTGCCGGCCCAGTTTAAACCTCGCGCCCGATATCTAGGAGTTCAGTTACAGATAAACGGCAAGTTTGGGGAATAGTTAAAAAAACTGCGAAAGGCAGTCGAACAATCATAATTTGCTCTAGGCAGGTGTTGGAGTTTGAAGCGCACGCCCTGGAAAGTCCGACGAGGCCTGCTGATGAGCTGTGTACAAGACGCAGCACAGACAGGCAACGAGGCATTTTGCCTCGCAGAGGCCAACTGGCAGGAGCTAGACAAGCTCGTGGCCAGATTTGCAAGGAGGGCGATGCGAGGCGCAGCTCGCTCGATCGTGACAACGGCGGAGGGTGAGCAAAAGCATAAACACATGTCGACTGGAGGGGTATTGAAGTACTGGGGGATGGCCCCATGCAAGCTGGAGACCAGAGTACGACGACTAAAACGATGGCAGTGAACAGCGAGTAGACCCCGCCATCACGATCAGGAGTTTACTGCGATATTCGGTCAGTACCCATTCGAGCGATACGCGACCATCGGGGGGGACGACTTGAAGATAGGAGACCAGGTCAACCCATGGGCCAGGAGGGTGAAGGAGGATATCTTAGAAGGATTGGAGGCGATGGGGGACGACATAGCATGGCTGAAGGAGGAGTTGAGCGAGGGCTTCCTGAGGCTCTTCAGAGACCCCGACTTGGCTGAAGAGTCCGGGGCGTTCGATTTTGGACGACTGCGAGAAGGAGCTTACGCTTGTGCCGTTCCCCCTCCTGGATGGTCCTCGTCTCAGGTCCCAGTGGCAGATGCTGTCGCCTAACCCGAACAGAAAGCATAATCGACGTGGGCGTGCGGATGTGAAAACGAGGACGGCAGCTACTGCCAGGAAACCTTCACAACATTCAAGTCGGCCAACCAACATCGCCTTCAAAAAACACGGCCTTCGAGATCCTTGGACCTGTACAATGATCACCAATACTTGTCCCTTGTGCCTGGGGGTGCACGGCTCGGTGGTGGCGGCGCAAAACACGTGGCCCAGAGCGTTCGGAGGGGAGGAGTTTGCAAATCAAATGCCGATCACCATGCCTTGGAGGACGGTCACATCCTGAACTTCGCACGTGCCATCTCTGTAGCCAGGAATGCTCGAGCTTTGAGGAGCTGCAGCGGCGCCTCCAGGAGCGCGCGCCGCCCCTCGACCTACTGTGCACCGACACTCAGGATGGAGCTCGAGCCCACCAGGTTCGCGCTCAAGCAAAAGCAACAGACGGAGGGTGCCGATGGGGGCGTCGCAGGCCAAGAAGCACCGCACAGTGGAGGCGTTGCTGCAAGGCGGCAACGGCAAGGACGACAGCGTTCTCGCTCGCCTCGTCGCAGCGCTGTCCAGGCTGGCGCTAACCAACGCAGCCGAACTACGAGAGACATCGCTGGCCTGGTGTTCATCGCGCTGCTCCTGCCCATCGAGGGCGCCGTCGCCAAAGCCGCGAAGGCCGCAGGCGCCACGTACCACGAGACGGCGCAGGCACTCAAGAAGATCAACGACGAGAGGGGCCTCGAGGAGTTGGGCCCACCGTGCGTCCACATCTTCATCGCAATGGTGATGGGCATCAACCAAGAGGCGCGCCAGCAGACGAGCAAGGAGACCATCTACCAGTTCTGGGTGGCGCACACCAAGGACAAGGCAGCGCGGGAGGTCCAGGGGTCGGCGATGCATTGCAAGTGCCGCCCAACGAAGCCGAATGAGAACTAGCCAGGCATGGTGAAGCTGAGCCTCGCCCTCAACAGCAAGCACGCGGCGGTGCAGGACGCGCTGGCGGCGGAGCTACGCCGCAGGCACGGAGCGGTGAAGAGGGGGGCAGCGCCTCGCGGCCCACTCGAGTGAGCGGCGCAGCAGCTGCTGGACGAGTACGAGGGCGCGACGAAGGGCAAGGGCGGTAATGCGTAGCACGCATGGCGGCCAGCCAGCAGAATATCATCGCCAGACACTCGACCAGGCTCCTGGAACTGGTGCAAAGAGGCGATGTACCGCTACAGACAGCGTTGAGCCAGGCCATGGGATCCATGACAATCGCTCCAGCACGACGTCGTACGAAACACAAAATTTTGGCTCTCGATACTTGAGAGGGCCAACTCAATACAGTGGATGGCGAGCCTTCATCATGACCTTATTGGGGGATTTGGAAGTGGGTCCAGCCTGACAGGATGAGCGTCAGTGACGCGCCGAAGGAGGCTGACGACACAGATGGCACTAACCCGCTCCCAGTCATCTCGAACGCCTACTGAGTACGCTGCGCGTGCCCGCTGCCCCGCATCGCTGGAACAGCTCTCAGGGTGTTTGGATGGAATCCTCCCCCTTCCTCTCCCCCTTGCGGGGCAAATGCCATATCCGCGCCTCCTCGCACCTGCCAGGTGGTCGACCTTCGGGTCTTGCCTTCGGGCTCCACCCGACGGGGGGCGGGGTGGTGGTGGAGAGGGGATCGGCCTCGCCCTCGGAAGCAAAGGACTGCTGAAATCGCCGTTCCCTTAGTTTTTGTTCAACGTTCAGAGGCTCCTTATTGCCGTCGTGGTGCAGGGCAGCCCCCGCGCCCCCCCACCACAGGGCGCTGCAGACTGCCCGTGGGTTCCCCCCCCCAGCATATGCGGCTGATTCTTGAACGTAGGCCCTCAGGGTAAGGTTAGAAAGCCAGCAAACTTTAACCCGGGCGAGGGGCGCTGGCCAGAGTGGCCAACGCACCTTTTTTTTTTTTCAGGTGCTGACTTGTGGAACACTGCCCTCAGAGCATTGATTGATTGATTGATGTATGTATGTATATATATATATATATATATATGTATATATACACTCGTCTGGCGATCCTTGCTCGGAGAGCGAATCGAATCCGAGAAGTAAAACGCGAACATTTCGAAAGGAATGCGCGTGGAGCCCCGCCGGTTCTGATTAATTTCAGAATGCGTGGAATACTTGTTTCGCGAATTCGCCCAGGAATTTACCCATCGAAACTTCGCGAATGCGCGTGGCAGTTTTTTGTTTTTAATATACAGATCTTCAGTTTTTCCTTCATCCCGAAAAGTTAGTAATTAGAGGTTGTTTGGTGTGTTGTTCGTCGATTGAGTGGAGTAGTTCACGTCGACATGCGAGTTTGTCTGTCGTTGTTCGAGAAGGGCGGGTATGTTTCATCATGTCGCGTTGTTTGTCGATAGAAAAGGGGCTTCAGTATTCAGGAAAATCAGTTCGTTTGTCGTCTTTCCCCAGTATGTAGTTCAACCTATAGAGACCCCCGTCATCCAGTACTCAACAATGCCCGGTTCCAACACAGCACCCCATGCTCAACAGTTCCCCACTCAACAGCACCACACCTTGAGTGTGCGGCCCCCAATCCCCCGAGTGTTTTGTTTTGTTTTGTTTCTTTCTCTTTCCGGCGTTTTCCGAAAGGGTTCAACCGTGACATTTTCCCAACTGCGGGGCCCCATGGCCCCCGAAAAACCACCGAAACAAGCCTAAGTTGTTTTTGCAGTCGAGAGTTGTCGGGGGGGGGGTTGCAGAAATAGTTGAGTTTCCCATTGGGGCCCCAGAGCCGTCGAAAAAAAAACGACGAACAAGCGCAGCTGTTTTCTTGAGGTTTGCCAGGGGGGTGCGGAGAGACCTTTTGCTTGTAAATGAGGGGGGCCAGAACCCCGGGGCAAAAAACAAAGAAAAAACAAAAAAAAACATACGAGTTGATTTTTTTTTTGGGGGGGGCTCGGATTGATTTGCAGAAATGGTTGTGCTTTTAGTTGTCGGGCCCCACGGCCCCCGAGAAAACCCAGGTTTCGTTTTCTTTTCAGGTGAGTTTGCCAGGGGGATTACATGCATAATTTTGACGTTGCGTGCGGGGCCCCAGAACCACAGACAAACTTAGGGGGCACCTTGAACTAGGTGCTTCGAGTTTGTTAAAAGTTTGCTGGAGTGTTTTCTGAAATAGCCTT